TTTTATCCACAACCGAGGCAGAGTATATTGCCGCAGCGGAAGCTGGAAAAGAGATGTTGTGATTGCAGCGGTTTCTCCAACAGTTGGGATTAAAGCAAGAAAAGTTCACGGTACATTGTGATAGCCAGAGTGCTATAGACCTGAGCAAGAATTCGATGTACCATTCTCGCACAAAGCACATTGATATTCGGTATCATTGGATACGCGAAGTGATGGAAAAATAATTATTGGAACTGATCAAGATCCATACATATAAGAATCCAGCTGACATACTGACAAAGGTGGTCTCGAGAAACAAACTCGAAATCTGCAGAGACATTGTCGGGATGGACTTCAAGTGAGAATTCAGTTCTCCATATGGGCGTGGAAGAGGAGAATTGTTAGTGTCCAGCACCATTTCTCCACTGCCCAAATGGAGAACCCACTTGAAGAGAAGTGGTGGTGGCACCTCCCCATTAATGTGGGTGGGGGTGGCCACCGCCCCACTAATTGTTTGTGGCTCTCCTCTTCCTCAATTGTGTATAAATTGAGGTGAGGATGAGAGGTTTATGAACATACAGAGATATAGACATTGTGAGAGTTCAAGTGTAGTGAGAGTGCTATAGTGAGAGAGTGAGGTGTGAGTGTGTAAACTCCCTCCGGGAAATTCTATAGTGGATAGCTTTCCGTGGACGTAGGCAATTGCCGAATCACGTAAATATTCTTGTATTATTGTGTGTGATTGATTTCTGGTGTCTCTTAGTCCCAACATTTACTTTCACATACTACTATTAATCTTTGTTGATTATTGCCAACTAGCTTGAAAGTCATCGATGTTAGACAGATAAATGGAGACTTGGACAAATAGACAAATGGGTGATGAATGGTCTTGTAAATTGTTGTTGTCCTTATATTAGGATCTGGATAGAAAAATTAAAAAGAAAAAAATTGAGTACGTTTTTTTGTATATCCGGTACGTTTGTAAAAATAACATATGTCGATAAATATCCGGTGCGAATAAGACATGTTTGTCGAAATATCCATGCTGACAATTCCAAATGAAGACTTTTATATTTTTTATTTTTTGCAAAATATATATTATTTAAAATTTAATTTTTTTCATTGTTGAGATAAAAAATTATGTATTAAATATTTAAATTTAATTTTTTTTTTATATTTAGAGAGTTAATTGATTTTTAAGGTACAGTTTGGAGGGTAAAATGAAATTTCAAATGAAGTTTGATACCATGTCAGGAAGTTCCGTTTGATTATGGACAGAATGTGACAGTATGAACTAAATTGATTAAAATTTTAAAAGTTTGTGAGGCCCACATCGGTAACTTCTGTTTGATGATAGACGACAATTGACGGTGGGTAAAATTGATGCAAAATTGAATAGTTTTAAGTATAAAATTGATATTATTAAATTAATAAGTTAAATTGAATTTTAAGTGATAATTTGGTGTCAAAATTATAGTTTCTCAATTTAGATTTGCTCACTTGAATAACAAAAAAAAAAATAATTTATGAATTAAGAGATATTGAAATGAATGACAAATGTAGAAGAGCCCATAGCAATACAAGACACCGACAGTGTAGGTTGGTTGGTTGGAAAATGGCTCATTTGTCACATGGCTTGTGCATTTAAATCCTCATCTCTTTGATACAAGCAAATAAACCATTACATATTTTTACCTTCAAATGACTGAAAATAAAAGACTCGCTAGCGATGCAACTCTATGTTGCAAGGTGTGATCAAAGGGTAATTGCCCAATTGCATAAATCTTATAATGAACAACTAAATGAGACAGTTGTTGGTCATATATCAAAAGGCATGAGTTCATAGTTTGCAATGTATTTTTAGGGAAATTGTATAGATAAAGAAAAAGTGGACAGAACAAACACAATAGCGTATGCTATAAACTAGCATAGGTGAACAACTGATTTAGTGGGGCAAGAGAGCTCCTACTCGGATTCCACAATTCACATTGTCGTCCAAGATCCTCTTCAAATCGTATTTGTACTGAAGTGCTAAAACGGAAGTCAAAGCTCAAACAGAGGTTGGAGACAACGTCTACACGTCAAGCATCCGCAAGACGAGTAAAGCGTTTTCGTTAAACCGCTGTGAGTATTTCTTCCTTTGGTATTTTGCTTTCATACTTAGTGCACAGAGTCGGAACTTGTGTGTGTGTTTGGGTAGTGTATGCACGGGCGTCGTTCTTGTCGCCCTGAATTGTGGAGTTTGGACCTTGAACTAGAAAGGATCCTCAGGAGACTTAGGACCTCTGCCCGTATTCCTAGGCTTGAATATTCATACATTGACGAAGTGATGGACAAGCAGTTATTGGAACTGATCAAGATCCACACAAATAAGAATCCAGCTGACATGCTTACAAAGGTGGTCTCGAGAAACAAACTCGAAATTTGCAGAGACATTGCCGGGATGGACTTCAAGTGAGAAGTCAGTCATGCATATGGGTATGGAGGGGGAGAATTGTTGTTCCAACCCACATGCATGAAAAACGTGGGAAGGCAACCAACCAAGTCAAGCTTGGCAGCCACCAACCCACATGCATGAAAAACGTGGGAAGGCTCTCCCACCTACTCCTTCTATGTATAAATAGAGACGGGAGGGAGAGGATGTTTTATATCAGAAATTGGAGAGTGAGAGCTGTGAGTTGAGTGAGTTTCATCTCCTCCTCTGTATTTGTATTTTGCTCCATTTTAGTGAAAATTCTCATTTTTGTCCGTGGATGTAGGCATTGGGCTGAACCACGTAAATATTGTGTTCTCTGTGTGTGTGAGATAATTTTTTCTGGGTGTGTTTGATCCTAACACTTTCAACTACATACCTGCTGCTTGTCTGTTAGGGATTGTGTGATTGATTTCTGGTGTCTCTTAGTCCCAACATTTACTTTCACATACTACTATTAATCTTTGTTGATTATTGCCAACTAGCTTGAAAATCACCGATGATAGACAGATAAATGGAGACATGGACAAATAGACAAATGGGTGATGATAAATGGTCTTGTAAATTGTTGTTGTCCTTATATTAGGATATGGATAGAAATATCATTTTGCATCCTAAACATTATTAAAAAAGAAATTTAACTCCTGTTTGTTTAATGATATCAATTTTATACCAAATCTATTTAATTTTGAATCAATTTTACTTTTTCCATTAGCTGCCATTTAAAATCAAACGAAAGTTGCTGACGTGACACCGATTTGTCGTTTGAAATTTTATTTTGCTTCTCAAATTATCTCTTAAATATCAATTAAACCACCAAACTTCATTTGTTCGGGGGTCTAATTGATATTTTGAGGATAGTTTGGAGGGTAAAATGAAATTTCAAATGAAGGTTGGGGGCCACATCGGTAACTTCTGTTTGATGATAGACGACAATTGACGGTGGGTAAAATTGATGCAAAATTGAATAGTTTTAAGTATAAAATTGATATTATTAAATTGATAAGTTAAATTGAATTTTAAGTGATAATTTGGTGTCAAAATTATAGTTTCTCAATTTAGATTTGCTGGCTTGAATAACAAAAAAAAATAATTTATGAATTAAGAGATATTGAAATGAATGACAAATGTAGAAGAGCCCATAGCAATACAAGACACCGACAGTGTAAGTTGGTTGGTCGGAAAATGGCTCATTTGTCACATGGCTTGTGCATTTAAATCCTCATCTCTTTGATAAAAGCAAATAAACCATTACATATTTTTACCTTCAAATGACTGAAAATAAAAGACTCGCTAGCGATGCAACTCTGTGTTGCAAGGTGTGATCAAAAGGTAATTGCCCAATTGCATAAATCTTATAATGAACAACTAAATGAGACAGTTGTTGGTCATATATCAAAAGGCATGAGTTCATAGTTTGCAATGTATTCTTAGGGAAATTGTATAGATAAAGAAAAAGTGGACAGAACAAACACAATAGCGTATGCTATAAACTAGCATAGGTGAACAACTGATTTAGTGGGGCGAGAGAGCTCCTACTCGGATTCCACAATTCACTGTCATCCAAGATCCTCTTCAAATCGTATTTGTACTGAAATCCCATTTCCATCAGCTAGGAGGAATCACAGTTGCTTCCTCTCTCCGGTCCTCCCATGAGCCTAGAATGGACTCATATTGTTAGATTGCTAACAATTAACTCTCTGATCAATTTGAACTTAAGTCGACAAAACTTGAATTCATGTCACGAGCAAATAGTTTTTATGAAAAAGAAAAAACACTATACAGTAAAGTCAACAGAGTCACTTACTCTGGTGATATCCTGAGTTGGGGATAGTTTTCGCATATGAATCGACCTCTCAGTGACTGTTTCTCCATGCAGAATATGTGGGCTTCACAAACATCATCAATGTGTAGTAGCGGAATTGAACCCAAAAATTCTTGGAGAAATCTTAAGGCGTTATAGTATGGGAGATTGCTGGTAAGCTGTGATATGATTGCAGATAAAGTACAAGTAGCAGGCAAGTAGGAAAGAAGAATGTCTCCTCCCACTAGTGCACAAGCCAGGCTCACCACTTCCAATTTACCATGTTGAATTTCATTATAGCTCAACACTTCTTTCTCTGCCAAAGTCTTTGATTTAATATACGCCTATGCAGGAAAAAATAAAAATAAAAATTAAATGAACTTTGGATTCATGGATTGAATTGAGTATGAACCAAAAGAGTGAAACAACATACCAGAAAAAAATCACTGCTGAAAGTATATGAGAGGCTTAGATAAGTCCAAGGATTCGTTGAAGGAGGGTTGATAGCCAGATTCATCTTCTTTCAACGGTGATGATGACATTACACTAGCAGTGTAGATGAGCCGCTTAACAGTTTGTGATCTAACACAAGAATCGGTTATGATCCTCGTGCTGGCAATGGCGGCTTCAGTTGTATCCTTGTACTCTTCAGTCATAACTAATTTTCAACTTCATTGAAATTTTTGATATAAATATATATATATATATATATATATGTACATATATGATGTGAGAAGATATGAATTAGACCTGGGAGCTCTGGGAATTGTGTTGCTTGGGGGTAGCCACATGGAAAACAAATTGGCAGCCTCTAATTGCTGGTTCAAATTCAGTGGGATTGTACATATCAGCTTGGAATAGCACTAATCTGGTGTCTGCATTAGGAAGGGACCGTAGAAGGTCCACTTCGGATTTTTCATCTGCAACATAAAACCATTGAAAAATGGAGAATTCTTATTAAGATCATAACCACACAAACACAAAACTGAGAGAGACAGAGAGAAAGAGACCTAAGTTCCTTAGTGTGGCATGGACAGTATAGCCTTTCAGTAATAGCCTTTCAGTAATAGTAGAGCCTCCTGTAACATAAACCTTGGTGTAGTTGCTAATATCCTCCATCATTGATTGTCAATATATTTTTTTCCTTTCTTTGGAATTGTAAGTGTGAGAAAGGCTAAGCAATTTGAGTAGAGTTACTTCGATTAGGTATTTTTCTTTTCTTCTCTATCTTTCTTTGATGACGAAACACTTTGGCTTCAAATCTTGTGTCCCCATTGTCTGTCCAAACTCCCTGTACCCCCTATTCCTATTCTCATGGTGAGAACTGTTCATCTGCTAAACAGTGGTACACACCAATTACTATGCCACATCATACCAATTAATGCATTTAGCTTTATTCTCTACCAAAGCCCAGCTAAATTGTCTCCGTTGACCTTTCAAATCTTAAAACGACAGAAAATTTTCTGATAAAATAACCCCCACCCCACCGCTACCCATCCCTAGATATGTACCATAATATTTTTCATATAATATACATACATCTTGAAAAGATAACTGTTGTTCCTGTCCTAGGTTTGGTTGCTAACTTGGCTATTTAGCCTAGAAAAAGTCATAAAAAACTTCAAAAATTTTAAGAAGTTAAAAATTTATTATTATTTTTTTGAAAGTTACATAATCACTAAAAAAAATGTCAAAAACACTTTTCCATACAATAAAAAATGTTATTTTGAAATTCACTAACTATTTTTATTCTCATAAAAAAATAAAAAAAAAATTATTAAAAAAGTATTTGATTCTTTGGCGTACTCTAAGTGTGTGAACGAAAAAATCGGGATTTGGGAGTGTGTTCCTTGCAAAGTCTCAAGTTCAAAAAATTTCTAGGCACAAATAATTTTTTCGGCGAGTGTACACCGAAATCAGGTACCAAGTTTAAAAAATAAAAATAATAAAATAAAATAAAAAGACTGCTCTAACCATGTCGTGGGTATTAGGACAGCAACAAGATCATTTAGTGCTAAAGCATATCCTTAAATTAGGATATCATAGTAGATGTTTATGAATTCCCACTTTATTTCATACATAAAAATCTTGCAAATTTTTGTAACTTGCATCCAAATCTAATTTAATACATAATATTAAAAAGTAATATTTATTTGAAATTTTTCTCTCTTTTATGTGACACTTAAAATAATGAAAACGTTACTTTTAAGATGTTTGGGGCCGTGAGACTCATCATGGGATCTGCTTCGATAATTTAAACCGTTCATTTTATTGGGTACATCATGCATTTCATCCACAAAAAAAATTATGTCAATCCGATAATTGTAACTTCTTCAATTTATTACTTTTGTCATAAAAAAAATGTATGTTTTATTTTTTAAAAACACAATTGTCGCCTATTGTTTTAGTGAAAAACAAGATAAATTGAACTAGTTACAGTTATCGGATCGACTTAATTTTTTTTAGGAATAAAACACACGAAGTGTCCAACAAAATGAATGGTTCAGATTATCAAAACGAGATCCGTCATGGGTTTCACAAGCCCAAACAGCCCTCTCCAGTCCGCTTTCCAAAGTAGACGAGAGGGAATACTCCTTTTATTTATATGCTTCAACGCTACCTTTTATTTGTTTTTTATTTATCTACTCACACAAATTGTTTAAAGAGTTTTTTAAGGCTTTCCATGTGTAGTTGGTGTGAAAGTAGTGGCAAACGTGGAAATTGTGCAAAAGAGGGGCTAAAGCAAAAATATTTAGATTATAGAAGAATTGAAGATTATATAGATTTTGAGAACCAAAATATTAATATATTTTATAAATACTCAAAATTATATGAAAATAATGAGATTTTTCAAAGGTTTAGGGTGACTAAAATACTAATTTATTATATAATAACTAAAAACTTGCATAAAATAATGAAAATTTTCAAAATTTAGGGTACCAAAGGTAAAATTATATAAATTTTGAATGGGTTAAAATTTAATTTAATTTTTTTTAATTTTTTTTTTATAAATTTTCAAAATTACAAGCTAAAAGTGTAATTTTTCGAAAATTTTGGGGGGCAGTGGCTTGAACCAGAGCAAGGATCCTCTAAAGTGATTTTTTACTAAAGTTTCCTAGAGTGCTACATTGTGTGGTTGAGATTTACTGGCAAGTCACATCAATTTTTCTGATGTTACTTGCCAATAAATCTCAACCACACAATATAACACTCTAAGAAACTTTAAAAAAATTTCACTCTAGAGGATTCTTGGTGCTTGAACCAACCACTCCTGTGTTCACTACTACCTTTTTTCACTACTACCTTTTTTTTGTTTGTTTGTTAAAATAGTTATTTTTAGTAATTGACCTCTTGAGTGAATAAATATAAAGAGACGAGTTATTATAATTTATAATCAACGATCGTTTTTTAAAGAGTCCATACTGATACTTATTGTGGGGATATATTTTCTGAATACCAACACGTGGCATGGTGACGCCGACGTGTCAGCCGAGGTGCCACGTGCCCTGGTAGTTAAGCCGAGGTAATCTCGGAGAAGCCGAGGTCATCTCCGAAGATATCGGAATCCGAGATAAGGGGCAAGAGTCCTAAGGCAAAGAGGAAACTTAACCAAGATAAGGATAAAGCTCTTAGGGAGTTTATCTTTATCTCTTAAAGAGTCCAGAGTAAACAGTAAATTGGAAGTTCATAGAAGTCATACTTCTATTGGGACTTGGATTGAGTATATTATAAAAGAGAGGCACCCCGCGTGGGTCTAAGAATATGCAATTTATACTTTGAGTATTCAGTTTAGTACTTGATTATCTTTGAGAGATATACTGACTTGATCGTCGGAGTGCCCCCAGGTGGAGAAACCACCGCCGGAGCTTTTTTTTCTGTTTCAGGTTGCTTAAGCCATCTATTCTGCTGTGCTCTCCAGCTGATCACTAAACGGGCAGTGTGGTCAGATTTTCACCCACACAATTTGGCGCCGTCTGTGGGAACGAGGAAGAATAGATTGGCCAGATAACGGACAGCAGGAAAAATATTCGGGATGACGCCCCCACTGGAAGTGGCAGACCAATTGACCTTGACATTGAAGGAGACAACCACAATGCAGAAGCCGTGACCAGGGTCATAGAGAGAACGACGTCATCCCAGGAGGCGACACGTCAAAAAGAACAAACCAAGGAAAGTACTACAATGAAGACAACCTCCAGGTATGGAGGGACAGGTGCGCTACGGAGGGATGAGGAAGTTGAAGAACTAGCAAACAAGTTGGGCGGACCTTCAGTCAGTTCGTCAACTTCATGATGCAGAATATAGTGTTATGCAGCCACCATACCCGCTGCAAGATACGCCGATGCCGGCGACCAACACCCAGAAGGGTGGAAGAAAAACAATCCCCGAGGTCCCTCAGCCCATACCAGGAGGCGGAAGGCATTCTCATCGGCCTTCTAGGGAAGTCGGACGGGAAAAGCCGAGGCAAGAAGAGTCCGGAAGGACACACCACATGAAGAATCCAGACCCCAAAGAACATCGACATGTTCAGGGGCAAGTACTCCATTTTGACCAACCAATGAAGAAAGATCCAAACGGACCACCACGAGGGCTGAAAGCAGTTGTACCAAAAAGACTAAAAATCCAAAGACAGGCCGAGCT